CGAATTATGCGAGAAACTCCACGTGAAATCTCTTCGATCGAACAAAAAAACCCGCAAAAAAGCAGCAGAAAATACTACAAATAGCTAAATAAAAAGTTAAAAAACTGGAAACGATACTAATTTATATGCGCCAGCGATACATGCAGCTGTATCCAAACCAGATATTTTCAATCGCAAGACAAATAAAGAAAGCAGAAGTTTGTGAAAAGTGGTCAAAAATGGCAGGTGTGCTTGGAACATTTTCATCCTGGAATCGTGAAACGCATTTTTTAGTTGTATTTAGTCTAAATATGCAGGAATGTGCTAGCCACAATGTTTAAGTCATCATAATCGTGCAAAAAGAAGAACACTGAAAAACGCTAGAAACGCTTAAAAATTATTTCATTGAATGGGGAAAGAAGCACACAGAATCCGTATTTTGGAAAGAAAGTATTAGAGAGAATAAGAGAGATGTAGTGTGAGAGAACAGGAGGGCCAGAGTGTGAAAGAAAGAGAGAGAGAAAAAGAGAGACATAGTGAGAGTGAAAATAGAAACAGAGTGAAAGAAGGACAAAGTTAAACAGAGAGAGCGAGAGAGAGAGAGAGGAAGGGAGAGAGAAAGAGAGCAAAGACGACAGCTAGACAGAGAAAGAGAGAGAGAGAGAGAGAGAGAGAGAGAGAGAAAGGGGAAGAGTGAACAGCACGACGTCTACGCGGAGGGTTAAATGTATGGAAATGCATTCCAGCTCCAGAATGACCGGTGTCATCCGAGTTGCCACGGCCCTGTGGCCCCAGCTTTTTCGCCGGACTAGTAAATCTGTTTCGTCGCTTCTCGAGATGATCTCGCGGCCACGAAACGTCCTCGTCCCGCTCTGACACACATCTTTCGGCGTTACTTTTTCCCTTGGAGCGAGCTCGCGCGCCCTTTCACAGCCCCGTTCTTCTTCCTGGCTTTTTCAACGAGGTCTTCTCTCCTCCCTTCTCCTCCCCGCGCCACTGTCTCACCATGCTGGAATCTTCCGCCGTCAAATACCTGGAAAAGTCCATTCAGAACGGGACGATTTCTTTTGTATCTCCAACCGTCACTTTTGAAAGCTAGTGTGACTCCGAGGTCGCAGCGCAGCGGACGCGTCTAGATCGCAGGGATTATTTGTCGAGATTATTCTGACGATTTGCCGGGGCCTGTGATGCCCCTAGACGCTCATTCTCGTTTTCTTTAGCTGGCCGTTTTAAGCGTCCCAGGTTTGGGAAGCTGCTCCGAACGACAAAGAATTTTTGTCATTATGCATCTGCGTTGCCTGGTTTGGTATTATAAAGGATAATTGTTATTTTAACGTTCTCTTGGTTGATTTTGGGGGAATTAATTAGTGACTGTAAGAGTTTTTATTCAGCAAGGGAACAAAGTTATTTATACCTCAACATTATTTATAAAACCTCGAAAGGAATTATTACCTTCGCTAATGTTGCATTATATTTCCTTTTATTTGTACAGTTCTGCGAATTATTAAATGGATGTAAATTTTATACATTAAATAAATACGTCTGTATAGTAGTATCGGGCAATTAAAACGTGAATTGAATACGTAATTTAAAAAGTTATTTCCTTTCAGATTTAAATGATGTTCAATGTAATATATTTTATATTTTACATTTTAATATATATATTTTATAACAATTCTGAGCATTATTCAACAATTTTGCAAGACATATATTTAAAGATATTCTTTGGAAACTTATCAGCCTTTCTGTTTGTTCCTAATTTATTTTATTAATGTAATATATTCTATATTTTACATTTTAATATATATATTTTATAACAATTCTGAGCATTATTCAACAATTTTGCAAGACATATATTTGAAGATATTCCTTGGAAACTTATCAGCCTTTCTGTTTGTTCCTAATTTATTTTATATTTTACATTTTAATATATATTTTATAACAATTCTGAGAATTATTCAGCAATTTTTCTCTCAAAACATATTTTTGAAGATATTTCTTGCAGACTTATCAGCCTAATTAATTTTATTTAATTAATATTAAGTGATTAAGTGAACAATTTAGATACTCTGGGTCAAAATTGACCTAGCCACCGCCTTGCAACGATTAAGGTCTATAGAAAAGCTATCGTATCCAAAGAAAATACGTTAAAAATTCTGTTGAAAAAGAATCGATAAACGATTACAAAGTATCCTAAGCACGCTCAGTAATATTTTTGTGAGAGAAATCCGCCGTTCGAGCCTCGAACGAGTTAAAAAAACTGTTTAACACCGTCATGGACTGACAAAACGAGTGATCGCTGGCCTTTCCAGGCTATCGCGAGCAAACTCGTCGGGGGAGCATTAACAGCATATTCTAAAACTCCCGAACATCCACACCTCTAATTATTTCTTCACTCGTTATCTGCCGGCGCAGATCTGCAGGCCGGACCCGGCGAAAGGTGTTTCGCACCCCGAAAAGCCGGTCAATCTCCTTGTCGCAATCTTTCTCGGCGAGTAGGATGCGAAACCACAGGAGATTCCCGGTGAGGACGAAAACGACGGCGACGCTCGCCGACGTTGCCCCGGCGCGGCGGTCTTGTCACGGCCGAAAGTGACGCGCCTTGTTTACACACCTGTGTGCCGTGTGTGAACGGTCCATAATAATGCCGGCTTCACACGAGCGGTTTCGTGTGCACGCGTCGACGAACAGGCCGAGAGAGTCTCTTCCTCTCTCTCTCTCTCTCTTTCTCCGTATCAACCTCTATCCTTCTCTCTTTCACTCTCGTTTTCTCTGGTCGCGTCCATCTCGCTCGTTCTCTCGTCTCTACCTGGGCTAGCTGGGGGCAGATTGAACGAACGAAGACAGAGGGACCGGAGAAATGTGTAGAAGAAGCAGAGCGGACGAGACGACCGAGTGATCTGACGATCCTCGGACCCGGTCCCGAAAGGTTTTAGCGGGGAAAATATAAAACTATTGAGACAAGAACCTGGAGGATCCCGGCGAGGAGAGGGAGATAGGTTCTTTACAGACCAGTTGGTAGCACCTACAAGACAGCCGACATCCCCGCCCTTTTGCGGGCCAGATTTGTAACAGTACCCGACAAACCAGAAAGGAGAAATCTTCCTCTTCCTTCAACTAGCGTGTAAGATATGACGTGCCCGGACGAGTGCTATGTAGAAGGCGGGATACACGGAGTTTATGCTGATAAGCCCGCGTTAAGGCCGATAACGGATAATTGATAGGTTACGACGCTTAGTTTTTCTACCGGGAAAATGGATTGCAGTAGGAAGTTCGTTTAAGAGTCTTTGAATATTGATTTCAATGTTCGGAGACGTCCGCGTAATTCATCTTGTTAACCTCGGAGTATTTTGCTGTGAAACGGATACGCTTGGACTTGCTTTTGTTGCCAATTATTTCTGCTTAATACATCATCTACATTCGATTAATCGTTTAAAAAAAATACTCGTATTCACGATTAGGGTCCTATATAGTCTTTTATGCTTTAAATATAACCTTGACGTTTTAATTTGATTTTCATTTGGATTGCGATTGTTTTCGCTGTACAATTATGTACTTAAAATTTCATTATTATTGCAAAAATTATGATAGCAATGCTGATTCTTATTTTCGGTCACCGAATGTTACAATAATTAAGCGAATTGTTATGTTGTATTGTTTCGTAGGATTTGATTGCTTTTAATGTAACATAAATATTTGTTGTCTAAATTCAAATGGAACACGAATGTTTATGATACAATTTGTTATATAAGCTGTAGCAGTGTTGTAAGATACTCGCCGGTGACGCCCTTCAATTCTTTTTTTTATTATCTCCAAGAGACTTTACAAGGTGTCCAGCAAGGACATTCGGTAAATTGTGGTATCGGGTTTGATTAATTAACACGTAGATATGATCCCTGTGGTCCTTCAATTAGATTTGAAACTAATCGCAGAAGGTTTCGCTGAAAACAAATTATCAGGCTTTTAAAGCTTGATACATAATGAATCTAATGATAAAATAATAACTCCAGCGCGCGTCTCTTTGGTAATTGCTTACTTCCTTTGAAATATTTTTCGTGCAGCAAATAGTTGACCAGTAATTCAAGGAGATCAGATTAAGTGTACCATCCGGTATAAGTCCCATCGTGGATCTATCAATTCATAACTCACAGGATTAATGTTTCGAACGTGCAATATTAGAATAAATTTGAAGTAATTTACTGATATATTATTGCATGAGAAGGTTGAATGATACTGAAGTTAGCAACGTTAAAAATATTCCTCGAAAAATAGCTGCATAATATAAATTAAATATTAGACTACACTTTGATTACAATGAGCGGCTGTCGAGGAAAGAATTGTTAGTATGTGCATTTTTCCAGTACGAATTCCGTAAAAGTGTTTACTGAAAGACAATTAAAACAGTTTTTTCTAAATGAAAGAAAATAGCGAAGTAGTTACAAATATTCTGCACTTAATCGTTTTATAGTGTATTAATGTTTTAGACATTAACGAAGCCAATTAATTAACCAGTCGTTTTCTGAATGAAAGAACCCAGCAAGTCGTTAAAAATATTCTGCATTTAATCGGTTATTCTAAAAATAGTCTCACATGTGTCACTTAAGTATCAACAGAAATAATAATTTTATGCATTATAATAACGAAGATAATTAACCAGTCTTTTCTGAATGAACGAACTCAGTAAATTGGATAACAATACTCCTCCAAAGATAGATAACACATTAATAAGAATGAATAACGATTGTTGATAAAAGGATTGTCGGTATGTGCATCTTTCCTGTAAGAATACCAATGTATCTACTGAAAAGCAATTAAACCAGTTGTCGCTAAATGAAAAAAAAACCGAGCTGTTAAAAATATTCTGCATTTAATCGATGCTCCAAAAATGATCTTACATATATCAACATAGACCATATTTTTTATATTAACGACGACAATCAACCGGTCTATTCTAAATGAAAAGAACACACAGTAAACTAGTTAAAAGTATTCACCATTTAACTCTTTGGGGTTAGGCGGGTTAAAAACTGTTTTGCTTAACTTTTTATGTATAATGGGATATATTTCAATCCACCTCAAAAAGTTGGAGTTGCTTATAGTCGCACAGTTTAATATTTTATTTAAAGTTTTTTCTGAAGAAGAAAGAAATGTTACGCACCAACGGTAACTGCATAAATAACTGAAAACAAAAAGTTACCAAGTCAAAACGCATTAAAAGTTCTCGACACTATTGTGATTAAGGTTGGCGAATTGTGTGTGGTGCAGTGAACCTTTGTCTTTCACAACTGTACATTCTGTGCAACATGGGTTTTTATTTTGTTTAAAATTGTACACTCCGAAGAGTTAATCGTTGGTTTGCTACGAAAACAGCTTAGCGGATCTGAAATAAAAGTGAACGTGGACGACGTTTTGACAAGAACAAATAACTTCGGCGGTTAATGAAAGAGCTGTCGGTACGCGCGCTTTTCTAATAAGAATTCTGGCAAGGTGTCTACCGAGAGGCAATTAAACCGATCCTTTCTGAATGAAAGAATTTAGAAAGGGCACCGAGAATTGAATGGATCTATAGTTATGCGCAGCGTGCGAACGCGTACGCGTGAAAAGAAAGGTTTTACGTTTCTCTCTATAATAATGTTTGATCAGCCTATCGATTCACTCCGCCGCGCCGACATCGAGTCAATACATGCACTATGCGCTCGGGGGAATTGGCTTCAATCTAAACGAGCCGTGGCCACAGACACGGCCTAATCACTACAAGGATATTAGCTAATCTCGACCAATTAGACGTAATGGCTGGATTAAGACGGATCGCACGCATGCTAAAATTGAATATTATATAATCCTTCCCCGGTACCATGCTACGTTTCCCACGTACGTATCACGAGCTGAAACGTCATTAGCTGTCGGCTTCTACCTACAATCGTCGTCGCTCGGTATGGGATTCGAAGAAAATCAGACTAACGATCTTCTGGAACGATTTTCTCTAGCGTTGCACAGCGGAAAGCTTTTGTTGCTCTTGTTTCGCTGGTACTGTTTTAGTGGTTGTTAACCGGGACCGTTCCAGATCGTTCTGGAAATTAGGGGAAATGGTACCTAGCGGTAATGCTGGTTCTCACAATTAGCCAATTCACATTGAATGGAAAGAAACGAGATTATGGCCCGTTGGTGCACACTCTTGCCAATTTTGTTGGTTTCTGAACGGTCAAGGTCGCGACCAGGGAAGAAGTGATACGTATTTGAATCCACTCGCGTTAAACTTAATTTGAAAAATTCTAACGACGCTTCAAACAATTGTCGTGCCATTAGGGACAATCAGATAGAGATGCTAGCTCTTGGGAAATCCGCTTGTAAATTTTTTATTAACTAAATTTTGGATAAGATACACAGTGCGACAAGTGATTTTTAAGACTAGATAAATAAAACGCGGTAGGAACAAAATACACAAGATCTCGTATCGTTTTGTTCAGAATGATCTATTCTTGTTTCAATACACTTGTTGCGGCCATTCAAAAGTGTTTCGATTGCATGATTCATCTTATTTTGTGGATTGCCTCTAGTTCCCGTGTAGAAGCTGTTTCGATGGTCGGAATGTTTTCGAAAAAGCATCCGTTTAACTTCAATTTCAATTTTGGGAATAAAGAGAAGTCGCGCGGGGCCAAATCAGGTGAATGTGAACAATAAGTGACTTGGCGCGTTATCGTGCAACAGTGCCAAACTATCTAGATCTTGATAATCGAGATGGATACGACGCGAAGAATGGTCCGAATCGTCTCCCGATTGATGTTCATAGCCGTTTCCATCATTCTCATCGCGGTTATTTGTAATAAAATCGCGTATTTTTCCGATCGTTTCAGATTTTCGAATTGAAATTGACCTTCCCTTATGTTGGTCATCTTCCAGCGATTCTCTACCATCCAGAAATCGTTCATGCCACACGAAAACATTTGATCGACTTAAACAAGCATCGTCATACATTCGCTGCATTAATCAGAATGTTTCTGATGCACTTTTACCGAGACTTGCGTTCAATTTAATAACCGCTTTTTGTTCCATGATTCAATTTCAACATCGATTAAAGAGTTGGTCAGGAAGAACTGTCATGACTTTGTCATTTATCATTCGATTGGCATGAATTTAGTTGCGTTAGACAGAACAATGATTGACCTTTCTAAGGATGCCAATGCCCAACAGATGTCGCCACTACCTGCTGAGATATGGCTCCAGTCAAAAAAAATTAATTCTCACACTGTGTACAGTTATCTTTTTTACTCTACAAATATTTAATGTGTGATAGGACATTTTTATTTCGCTTTGCAGTAGAAACTGATCTTCAAGATTTTCAACAGATTCTACTTACAGACGTTGTTCATCTGTTTCGAATCTGTTATCGTTACAACTGATACGAACACATAATAATATAAATTTTCTTACCTTTCTAAGAATTTACTTACAGGACTTCTAATTAATGTAGAAGTGTAGAAAGTCGCAGGCCGACAGAGTTAACTGCACTTCGGCTATCTATCGAATCTAGTGCGAGACACATCGAAGATGGCAAGTATTGTTCCCAGATAAAATGTCTTACTCGAGGCCAACGCCATTAACAATCATCGCTGCGATCAGCGGCCACTAACTCGGCAACATAATCTGAAAACGTGACAAACCAAAATTAATTACCACGTAGAACGTAACTAAATTGAAAGGCTACAATTCTTTTCAACGGAATAGATAAAATCGACCGGTTTACAGGTTTTCCAGTAAAAACGTTCAAATCGCTTAATACGAAGCCGCTGAGCAGTCACTAAAACGGCGACAATGCGACACGAAATAATTGGAGGCTGTAATTAAAAAGAGTGCGCGAAGCGTTGACGGCGATTCACGTGCAAGATGGCAGATAGCCGCGCAGCACCGTCGCGTCGCTTCGGGCGTTAATTATGGCCATAAAATGGTCGCGGTGTGACGCTCCACCGTGAATAATGATCGGCCGGAACAGTTACGTTCGCCAGACTTTATTGAAGACCATCGAGAATTCCGGAAACGTTTATGATGTCCGACAAAAAGCCGACACGCAACGATGCTGCCACCGCGCGAGATCTTTTTGCCGGGAACAAAGTTGGGGAAACGATTAGGCGTTTTCGAACCGCGACTTTCTTTCCCGATAATCGTGGCCACTAATTCGACGAACGATAAGGAAAATCTTGGTTGAACGGCACCGAGACATCTGTGTTTGTTGTGGAACGTCTGCATGTCGGTCAGTCCACTCGGAGAGGTAACAGGCGAACGACAGTAAGGGTGCTATTATCGACTGTTTGCCATACCTTACCTTGACAACGATAACGATAATCTGAAGAGCGCGTCTCCGGGACGCGGTTGAACGGGTCGCGGTAAATGGTTTGGCGATCGCCGGCGCGGGACACTAAAGACGTAAAATTATTGAATAATTGACAGCCCGTATAGATTGGAATCCGTGATTTAGGTCTCGCCGTTTTTCCCGTGGCGACGACGCCGTGCACCAGCCATTTTGGTTTCGCCCGCCGCGCCGTTCGAATGGCAGCGGGGCCGGACGTTAGGTGGACGCCTGTAACAGATAAGATAAACGCGTAATTTTTACAACTTGCACTTATTGGGCAGTGAACATTTTACGTTCAATAAATAAGTTGGTTTTAGGGAAATCAAACCGTTGGAATTGATAGTTAACTGATGAACATTGTGCCACGCGGCCCAAAAAGGTTACGGTTCGTCGCGGAATAAGATAGGCATTTCGCAAGTTAAATGTACGAACTGCAATTTATTTAATCTTTATACGTTTATTCAAATTAGGAGCGTTGATAGAGTAACAGTCTGGAGTCGTGTAGAACGTGTTTAACATTTTGAAATAGTCCGGAGATGGTCTATAGTTTATAGGTAGTTGGATTGTTGAAATGAATATTCTATCGCACACTGATTTGGAACAGCGAGTGTATTTAGGTTTAATAATAAATAAAAGTTGCCGGGAGAATATCCAGTACACGACGATCATAAAAGATTGTACCAGAATAGTGAACTTTGTTTAGATTTTCATCGATTCTGGACCGATCATTTTTTCACTAAGGATCTATTGGATTGGCAACTAAGTAATTGCCGATTTGTTCAATGAAATAAAAATTTTTTTTTTACTTGGAATGAAGTCTAATCTGTAATGTATTTTCCATTTTGTTCGATGACCTTTTGCCATCTCTCTGACAACTTGAAAATTCCACGCTCGTAGAAAGTCTGATCCTTTTCGGCCAAAAACTGAGTTAAGTGAGATTTTACAGCGTCATCATCATTAAAAGTTTTACCACGAAGGGAGTTGTCCAGGGATCGA